AAACAGTGTATATACAAGTTTTGGCGAGCTCTTATTTTGGAATTCAACATCAGACAGTACTGAAATGGTGTAAGTGACACTGAGAAAGTGTACTGTCAATCTGAGGGGAAACTAGATTAAATCAGAAGTTTCTTTTTTATACTAATCTGAAATGACAGACAAAACAGAATTTATTTGAGTTTTTGGAGGGCTTTCAATTTGGAATTGTACATCATATAGTCCTGACATTGCATAAGTGACACTCTGGGGTGGTGTGCTATCAATCTGAAGTGTCTATGGAAATTTTCTTTTTAGAGCTATCTGAAAATATGGAAAATACAGGTTATATGCAAGTTGTTTTGAGGGCTTTTATTTTGTAATGCAACATCAGACAGTCCTGGCATTGGCCCAGTGGCACTCTGGGGTGGTGGACTGTCAATCTGAATTGAAACGGGTCTGTGGAGCTATCCAAAATCACAGGCAGAACAGGTAGAATATGAGTTTTTGGAGGGTTTTTTGTATGTAATGCAACATCAGATCGTCTTGAAACAGGCTGAGTGACACACTGGGGTAGTGGACTGTCAATCTGAATTGAAACTGGTCTGTGGGAACAGGGAGTTTTCTTTTTAGAGCTATTCAAATTCAAAGACAAAACTGGTCATATATGAGATTTTGGAGGGCATTTATTTTGTAATTCAACATCAGATCGTCCTGATACTGGTTGAGTGACACCCTGGGGTAGTGGACTGTCAATCTGAATTGAAATTGTTCAGTGGAAGCTATCCAAAATCAAAGACAAAACTGGTCATATATGAGTTTTTGGAGGGCTTTTATTTTGTAATGGGAAATCAGATCGTCCTGAAACTGGCTGATCCTGGGGTAGTGGACTATTAATCTGAATTGAAACTGGTCTGTGGAAACAGGGAGTTTTCTTTTTAGAGCTCGGAAGGCTTTTACATCTTCAATTAGTCTTTTTTACGAAAGGCTTTTATTTTGTTATTTCTCACCAGACAGTTATTGTCATATTATTTGGAAATTACTCAACGTTTGAAGTCATTTTCATTTTATCAGACCGTTTTTTTAACATTTGTATTATTTTAAATGCATTTATTTATTTATTTATTTATTTATTCGTTCGTTCGTTCATTCATTCATTAATTTATTCATTATGGACAGAGAAACTGGCTCAATAAATGAATGCCAGAGATAGGTTTTCCTTTGATCTGAGGTTTTATATGATTTTACCGTAGCGCCTATTACAAAACAACGTGGCGGAAATGACATTCTGGAGTGGTGTACTGAAAAAATTTTAACTTTTTTTGTGGAAACAGGGAGTTTTCTTGTCATAACGATGTGAATTTACAGATAAATATGGTTATATGCGAGTTCATGAAAGGGTTTTATTTTGTTATTTCTCATCAGTCAGTTATTTTCATTTTATTTGAAAATTCTACATTTAATATTACTCAACATTTGAAGTCATTTTCATTTTATCAGACCGTTTTTTTAACATTTGTATTATTTAAAATGTATTAATTAATTAATCAATTCATTCATTAATTATTGACAGATAAACCTGGCTCAATAAATGAATGCCAGAGATCGCTTTTCCTTTGATCTGAGTTTTTACACTCTATTACCGTAGCGCCTAGTATATGCACGCAGAACAAAACAACGTGGCGGCTAGAATGACCGTGTTTTTCAAAGTGGAGGACTGGCCATATATCCGTGTCCCTGTTAGAATTAGCCTACTAAAACAACTGATCGGAGTTTGTTTGTCCTAAAAAATTATTTGTCTAATCTACGACAACACTTGATTTAGCCAAGAAAGACATGTTCCTGGATCAACATTATTGTCCAAAAATATAGATTTAGCCCAATCCCTACCCCTAAACCTAACCCAACCCATAATTTATTCCTAAAATCAGTGGGAAATGATAGCTGATTAAAAAGGGTGTAGAAGCACCTAACCCTGTGTTACGGAGCCGACGAGACGAGATGCATGCGGATCCATTTGCAAATCTTTATTCTTAAACATGGTCAAAACAGGCAAGGGTCAGACAATGGCACACAGGTGTATTGAGGGCAAGACAAGAGTAATCCAAAGCAGGCTTGTCGATCGGCGGCTAACAGTATCCAGAGGGCTTGACAAGAGGGGTAATCCGATAACATGAGCAATAGTCCAGGCAAGGTGCAAACACAGTCCGAACAGCAAGGCGAAAGGGATAATCCAAGACAGGCTAATAATTCCAGGGTAGGCAGCTGACAGACAGGACGAGAAAAACAGACTGGAATCAAGACTAAACTAGGAGAGGAAACTGGCTCCGTAAAGTGATAGCACTTAGAGAGCGATAAACGCAAACAATACTCAGCGATCTGAATGAGGAAGTCCAGAGTTTATAAAGCCTGTCTGATTGGATTCAGCTGTGTGTGTGTAATCAGTGCAATGGATGATGGGAACTGTAGTCTGGAGTGAAATGTAACAGTCTGTGTGGTGTGAGAGTCAATGTAGTGAGCACGTGACCTCTGGTGGTGAGTGAACGGAAGTTCATAGACTGGATTCCTGACATCCTGATTGCAAGCCTAAAGCAGATATTTCCTGAAAAGTTATATCTCAATTCTGATTGGCTGATTGGAATGTTGTTCCAGGATCAAACAAGGATGTTGATCCAGGAACATGTTGTACTTGGTGAAATCACGCTCACCGACAACGCTTATAATAACGCTGTGTTTGTCTTTGTTGTTGATGAAAATAATAAAATAATTAAACACTAGCTATATCAATTAGCCTTCTCAACTGTTTTATGACAAAGAGAGTGCTCCAGGTTACAGTGGCAATAATAAAATATCAAAGCAAACAAACAAACTACCTCTCACTGTTGAGGCCGCTACCATTTTTTTTTACATTACATCACTAGGGTCGGAGGTTTCATAGTTTTGAGTTTCAGCTTGTTATTGTTTCTCTTCAGCTATAGGCACTTTTAACCAAGATGATTTTAACATGCTCAAGTTTATTTAATCCGCCTACTAACTATGTTTCTTGACGCACAATAGGCCTATAAATATGTTCTTTTCACCTTTTTCTTTTGATCATATATGGCACAAAATCTAATCTCAGCACTTTTGATGAATAGCTATGCTGTTTTTAATTTTATCTATCAACATTTGTGAGATTTAGTCAGTTGAAACAGTTTTGAGGTTGACTGATCTAATGGATATATCAGTGTTTTTGGATTTGTGGAGTATATTTTTAGTTTTAGTAAAATTATAGTTTTCATTTTAAAGGAAAAAGATCAAATTATACCAGAACTGGCACAGAAGGGCCCAAGTGTTGTTACTATGCTGTTACTAGTGTATAATAGTTATAGTTATACACTATAGTTATACAGTGGGCTTATTATTTGATATTATTATTATTATTTAATATTTTCACGAATTAGATATTTCAGATACCTTTGCTAAATTGTCAAAATACAATTTAAAATATGAATTATATTAATGACACTTAAAAAAAAGTGTGTGTGTGTGTGTGTGGGGGGGTGTTTTCTTCACAAGTGTTTTGAAAAGTAGCCAAAATAGATGTTAAAGGCATAATAAAACATTTCAGTTTGAATTTGACTTTCAAATGACACAAGATAAAAAACTGAAAAGTTCAATTTTTAAATCCCAGATACCATAAGATAAAGTAAAAGAATTGTGCCAGCAATCCCCTTTGTACTATTCATTGTAAATTTGGACTGCACATCATTTTTCACAGGCTTGCATATCTTATATCACAATTTAACTGGTTCCCATCGCTAGCTAAGCCTAAAATAATATTCATATAGGCCTACATTTCTTCAAAATTATTTTATTTTAAATAAAATTATTTAGCAGTTGGTTAGTTTTTGTTTTGGCAAATAAAGGTTGCAAGTTCCCTCACCTTGATATGTTGGATTTATTTCAATATATTGAAAGACTCCATGAATATCAGACAGCAAATTTTTGTATATCTTACAATTTATTATTATTATTAAAAATTTGTGGCAGTGTTATGACAGTGTAAATTATGAACCAGAAATTGACACATCTAACCTCCCACTATTACTGAATGAAATGGTCTTGTGTAGGATGAAAATTCTTGATTTTAAAATTCTATTGCAATGTAGTGGTTTATGAAGTGGTTGCTGTCTTGTCTTTTTGGAGAATGGCCCTTTACTGCCCTCTGTTGGCTACAAATAGACAGAGATCAGCCTTACTGAGGAATGCCACTGAGAATAATACATAGTTTGAAGCTTTCAGATGACGGAGAACAGCTCAAACACTAGACAGAGCACGTAAAACGTCAAGCCTTCTGCGGAAAATCATGTTAACGTTATAAAATAGCCATATGTGATGGTTAGTTTGTGGTAGGTCTAATGTGTTTATATGGGGCACACAATAGTCAGATTAAAATATGATAAAAATGCGTTTTTTAAAAGAACGGTAATACAATGGTTTAAATGGTAGTATGTGAGGGGCTAAGCCATCTGGAACCATGTTTCAACAACGGTAAATTCATAAAGCGTCCCACTTCACCTGAATTCACCATTACCATACACATATCAGTACGATTTATTAATATAGCCTATTTCAGAATTTACCTAGATTTTCTTTTTCTTTTCTCCCATTTTATCGGTTGATGGCTGTTTTGTATTATTCAACGAGCCCACACGTTTCTGTGTGTAGTTGCATGGCTAAGGTTGTGCCCACTTTATAATCTAGTCAAGACTTGAACACACAGATTACACTTGTATCTAGAAACAAACAGCTGGCATTTCAACGTCACCGAATTCAAAGAAATGAAAATTATTTTATTAAACGCCAAAAGTCCCGCTGCAGCGCGCGTGGGCTCGATATCATGTGAAGCCCCCGCGTGTTTACGGGACGTCCGTCATATCTCACGCGCGCTGCAGGTGCGTGGAAGAACGCTCCGCCCCTGTCAATGCAAACGATTGAAGAAAAGTCGCGGTCGAAAGCTGAACTACGTTACTGACACATTTCAAAACTCGAAAAAGCTCTGAAAGAGGGTAGCACGCGCTCCAGTACTTTCTGCAGTAGGCATATGTCTTTTTCAGTTCGGACTTTCCTGCATTTTTAGTTATTTGTTTAACTACTAGCTTTAACCATATTGGTTTTTACATTTAATTTAGTAGTGCCAAATTTGAAAAAAGCTGAATGATACACGATTTTGTTTTCAGATGTGTTCAGATGAAGAGCGCGCGATGGCGGGGGGCTCCGGTAACGGAAAGTTGCGTCAGTGGTTGATACAGCAGGTGGACACCGGAAAATACTCTGGACTAGTGTGGGAGAACGAGGAGAAAAGTATCTTTCGGATTCCGTGGAAGCACGCGGGCAAACAGGACTACAACAGGGAGGAGGATGCTGCGCTCTTCAAGGTACAGTCTGTCAGGATGCACGTTGAGGGTTGAGGGGATGAGAAACAGACCCATGCAGCGTCAGTAAAGCATTATTTCTCTCATGTGATCTTAATAACATTGCAGACAGTGCATGTATGTGATCGTACATTTGTGTTATTAAAAATACATTCAAATGCAACTCTTAACCCCAGCAAACACAACTGCGTTCACGTTGTGAAAAGGTTGTAAAAACGTTTTGTGTTTGCTGGGACGTTGTCGAATTTTTTCGTTTTGTTGTGGTGCCTAAAAATGTCTACTGTTTGGAGTCAAAATCTCATTAAAAGGCTGAAATCATTAAGTAGTGCAGTGTTTGCATAATCACTTTTTATGAGAAAGCACGTTTTTTCTTCAGGTCAAACGTCTTAATATTCAGGACTCAAAAATTCAGTTTTTGTTAAAAATATTACCTTACTAAAATATGTTTGAAAACCTTTTTTGAAAGCAACAATTAAGTATTAAGGAACGACAATGGTCGCACCACTCCACATCTATAAATCAAAAATTATTTGAAAAATGTATGAAACCAACATAAAACCAAGGTTACTTGGTAGAAACTAGATTTCTTAAAAAAATTAAAATCTCCTTTTTAAGGGCATCCTAGCATAACATTGACCCATATGTTGGCTTTCCTGCAGGCTTGGGCCCTATTCAAAGGCAAGCATCGGGAGGGTATTGACAAACCTGACCCACCAACTTGGAAAACACGTCTTCGATGTGCTCTTAACAAGAGCAACGACTTTGAGGAGCTTGTGGAGCGTAGTCAGCTTGACATATCAGACCCCTATAAAGTGTATAGGATTGTTCCGGAAGGATCCAAAAAAGGCAAGGAAGGAGAAAAACATCAAATGACATCCCACAGTAGAACAGCTGTTTGCTGCCATTTGTCTAATAAATACTTCTTTAGATATGATGAAAACAACAACAACAAATATATATATTTAAATGTTTCAGGATCCAGATCTCTTGAAGATTCACAGTCCAATTCAAGCTCACCCAGTTATCCAATACACCCACCTTATGCGCCAGCACCATCTCAGGTTAGAATCAAACACCATCTTTGATTTGTGCGTTCCTATCTTTGCACTTCAGATCACCATATGTGCTTGTCCTTACAGGTGTGCAACTATCTTTCTCCAGCAGACAGAGGATGGAGGGATTACTCAACCCTATCTGAGATCCCTTACAGCCAGAGCCCCTACACTCCGCGATGGGAACCTGGTACTTTGTGTGTTTGAGAGAGAAAGTACAACTACTGTAAGTTCCAGTAGTATGCATTTGCATTGACATATTTCTGTATGTGCAGGGTACCAGTTCAGTGGCTCTTTCTACAGTTGCAATGCATCTGATCCACAGCCGTCTCCCTTCACCCTGGACACCAGCATGAGATCTGCTGAGGCAGTGGCCCTCTCAGGTACATAATCATAAACACACAGAGACAGTGACAGTGACAGGCTCGATTCGGGCAGGTGGACTGATCTTTAAGTAGTAGAAACAGAAATGAAACGCTAAAAACTAAAATCAGTCATTTTAAGTACTACAAATAATTTATTTAGGAATCACAACATTATGATGTACTGAATGAAAAATTGATATTTTGACTCAAGATTGCTACTTAAGATTTAAAGTCACAGTGTAACAGAAGTAGCAACTGATCTATTCTTCCATATTTTGAATGAAGCAGATTATCAAAAATGTAGAACAGGGACTTGGTTCTATCCATCAGTTGTTGACCGGGAGGCGGCAAAGTGCAAATTTGGATTGTAAGAAAGACTAAATAGTTGGAAAAGTCCAGAATACATGGTGTAGAATACAGAGAAGTTTGTCATTTTACCAGACGATTTATGAAATTTTAATAAGAAATTATGTGGTAAAAAAAACATGCATGAATGAATCATTCAATAAAATCAATAATATGCATTTAGAAAATAGATGAATTTTAATTTCATTCCGACTTTAACAGTGGTAGGAGGTGTTCATAAGAGGCGTTCCATTGACTTCCATTCATATGCATGCAAATACGGGAGACCGGAAATGCAAGCTCACGCGAATTCCACTGCATCCCAAAATATAAGTTTGGTGAACTCGGACTTGTGAATTTATATCACGTGAAGACATGTGACCAATAGAAGAATGATACATCATGGTGTATTAAATGTGCAGGATTGCAGTACAGTGGAGTAGACTGCATATTATTACATTTATGATATGTTGAATTATGATTTTTAATACTACAAAGATTCATACTACAACCATTAAAGTGTCTGTATTGTGTATGTTCAAGTTGATTTGTTTACATGGGCAATGCACATTAATGAACATTACTGTAAATGTGCCAGAATTAGCCAAAATGCTGCTTTTCATCTGTAGACCCTTGACAAAATGTTAAAAAAGTCACCCTAAAAATGCAAACAAAGCATCTTATATTAATACAAAAAAGACTAGCGTGACTGCTGATTTATTCAATTGTGTTTAAAAATATATTAATTTAGCGTTAGATGATGCCAGGTCATCTAAGTGTTTATTTATTTTGATCATCTTCTCAAATAGATTACCGCTTACATGTGGTGGTGTTTTACCGGGAAGCTCTGGTGCGAGAGGTAACAGTGAGTAGTCCAGAAGGCTGTCAGCTGGGCCCTAGCAGAGAGGGACAGGCCTACACTTCACCTGGGGCCCCAGAGCTGGTTGAACTCCCTCATGCTGAAGGGGCATCTCTGGAGCGTGGCGTTATACTCTGGATGGCCCCTGATGGGCTCTACGCCCGCCGCCGCTGCCCCTGCAGGGTGTACTGGGAGGGAGCTCACGCACCACCTACCGACAAGCCCAACAAGCTGGAGAAAGAGCAGAACTGCAAACTGCTGGACACTCATCTGTTCATAACAGGTTAGCGCATAGGAACACATTCACGTGTACGGCATTTCCGATAAATTACACTAAGATTATGACAAATGATCTGATGTCATTCATTGGAAAACAAACAGAAAATTAATAAATAAATGAACAGGTTACTTCATCACTCATCGTTTTCAGTAAACGCTGACAGTCATTTATGGTAAATCTTTATAACTGTCTATTAATTCTCTGTTTGTATGCATCATATTTGCACATCTCCAAAATACACACATTTTACTGTAAACAAACGCGTCAGACTTTTACAGTAAATAGTGCCACATTATCTGTGGGTTGATATTTAGTGACAGTCAGTCATCTATGAGTTACAACTCATGCACGCCCGCCTTCTGTCATAGATTCACTGATTGTTGTGATTCTCACAGAACTTTCCAGCATATGATGAATACAACTCAAATACCACAGAAATCACATGTGCCACATTAGACCTAAAGCTCATAGTATGGAAAGCAAGTAGAGAATGAGAAAAAAAGTCTGTATTACAGAAAGAGATAAGATCATTTGCTTTACCCAATGGCTTAAGAAACATGATCAAATACATGCCATTTACAAATAAACACTTTGTAACGAGGATGTACTTAAATATTCAAGATTCAGGAAAATAGTTTAAGATTTGATAATTTTGAATGACCATTAATCTGAATAATCTGCCACATTTTATACAGACGTTTAAAAGTCTGGGGTCAGTATGATTTTGATGAAATTGATACAGCAGTTTTATGCATTAAATTATTAAATGAAATATAATTAAATTATATTTAAGACATTTATAATATTGCAAATGTTTTCTATTTTAAAATAAATACTGTTCTTTTGAAATACCTGTTCATTAAAGAGTCCTGGAGAAAAAAAACATTAAAAAATCTAATGTATTGCTGAAGTTCTCACCTGTCATTGTATGTGATTAAAATCCATATCTTCTGTAGAGTTGCAGAGTTACGCCCTCCACGCTCGTCCTGCACCATGCTCTCAAGTCCTGCTATTCTTTGAGGATGAGAGCACTGATGCTCAAAGACCAAGAAGGACTTTCACAGTGCAGGTACATTTCTTTGGTTCCTTATAATACCGCTGAAGTTATGAACAAAACATAAATGATATTCATGTCATCTTAATTTACTTTTGTCATCATGTCACAGGTTGAGCCACTGTTTGCTCGTCAGCTTCTTTTCCTCAGTCATCCCGGCAGCATGAACTACATCCGCAGCCATGAGCTTTCACACCTGCCCGCTGAACACACCCTTTCCCCGACCCAAGACTACCACAGAGTCATCACACATCTCCCTAACAGCGGTCCTCAAAATTGACCCTGGAGGCTTGTCACTTTGCCCTTAATCCTGGAATAACATCTTGCTTAACCCAGGGTTAAAGCAAGTTTTAATCCTGGGTTAAAGGGAAAGTTCACAAAAAGAGAATAAAGATTCTGTTATCATTTACTCACCCTCATGTTGTTCCAAACCTGTATGACTTTCTTTCTTCTGTGGAACATAAAAGAAGGCATTTTCAAGAACATTGAGAACCAAACGACCCATTGACTTCTATTGTATTGACAAAAAAAACTGCCTTTTTCATTAAATTTTCAGAATTATTTTTGTAATTTTGAAAGGGGGTTAGCGCCATTTTTAACTCAGGGTTACAAATCTTTGCTTATGAACAGATGATGGACAAGCAGTTATTGAAAGAGTTTACATGTTCACCAAGTGCCATACTTGTCCAATCAATGTGCAAACAAGAATGTTAACCCAGGGTTTAAATATGTACAGTGAAAAATCTCAAACTTAAAAACCCAGGACAAAATATTAACCCATGGTGAAGTTTAAACAGGACTGTTAATCCTGGGTTAACTAAAAATCGCCCAAGTCTTGTAAGCTAAAGTGTAAAAGGCAAATGTTGGAATTCTGCTGTGCACCTAGAGCCTTTCGGGACACTTGAGCTGAGCAGAATCCTACCAGGATTATCTAGATAGAGTGATAACAGACAACATCAGATGCGAAACTGTTGTCATGTTTAATACTGAGAAAGACGTAAATGTGTGTACAACTCACAAGGATAAATGATTGTATTATGTCGGCATACTGTCAAATGTGTGGGCTTTTTGCTGACATGACAAAAGAATGTAAAGTGTGAATATTAGCTGTGATTGATTGTTTCTTGCAACATTTGTTTGAGCTGCATTCAGAATATAAAATCCAAAGAATTTGATGTATATAGGCTATGCATTTAGAAAAAAGTGATAACATTTCATTTTCAAATTGCTGTTCTTTTATAAAAAATTTTGTGTCCAATTCTGACTAAATGTTCTACTTTTTTATTCCACTACTTTTGCTCTTTTATGTTACTGAAATTGATTTACTCAAAATTGATTGGTTTTAATATAAAAAGTGAAAAATGGAGTGTATGCGCTCTGATTCCTGACCTGTACAGGGTAAAAATTACACCTAAAATATTAAGCAGCACAACTGTTTTTAATAATGATAACGATAAGAAATTTCTTCATCACCAAATCAACATTAAAATGATTTCTGAAAGATCATGTGACACCGAAAACTAGAGCAATAGCTGCTGAAAATTCAGCTTTGCCATCTCAAGAATAAATTACATTTTAAAAATCTATTAAAATAGAAAATGGCTATACTAAATTGCAATAATAAGAACTTCGTTCATCTTCAGAACAAATTAAGATATTTCTGATGAAATCCGAGAGCTTTCTGACCCGCCATAGACAGCAAGGGTCCTACCATGATCAAGGCACATCGATAAGGACATCGTTAAAATAGTCCATGTGACAGTGCTTCAACAGCAATTTTATGAAGCTACGAGAATACTTTTTGTGCGCAAAGAAAACAAAATGGAGGGTCCATGGAGGGTCAGAAAGCTCTCGGATTTCATAAAAAATATCTACATTTGTGTTCCGAAGAAAAACAAAGGTCTTACGTTTTTGGAACGACATGAGGGTGAGTAATTAATGACAGAATTTTCATTTTTGGGTGAACTATCCCTTTAAAGTTTTTACTATATTTTGGGGTCAAATAAATGCAGCCTTGGTGACTTCTTTCAAAAACATGAAAAAATCTTACCGACCCGAAACTTTTGAACAATATTGGATCTCAAAATTATTTCTCTTTTTCCACTAAGTTTGCTTTTAAGTTGACTTCTACTAGAGAGGATTCTTTCTAAACAGAATTGGACGTCATTTGCCTGAGTCTCTCCGTCACTGGTGGGCTGACTGGTTAACTAAGCTAAGCCTTTGTAAAAGGCAGGAGCCCCCAATACAAACACTGGAATCCCCATGAACGTGTGTGGATCTGGTGGGACGTCAAGCCCTCGTTTACGTTGAGCGGAAGCAATATGTTGTCTGCAGAGAATGTATACAGGGTAAGCGAGTGACAGCGCACACACAGGATGGTGTTTGTGGTTTGGAGACAGGATGGTGCGGGCAGTCTCAACTCGATGACATCACAGAGGAAGAGGCAGACTGAAGTATTTTTTATTCTTCCTTCTCAATGAAAACAGCCAGAATGCCTCATTGGTTGTCGTTTTGTTGCCCTTAAAGCTATAATGAACAATGTTGTGTACTATGTGCAATTCTGATTGGCCTAATTGCGATGTAAAGTAACTAATTATGTCAAAAAGTCTTGAAACTATGCTATAGGGTGAGACTGTTTTTCTTTGGGATGCACGAGACATCCTTAGAAACTTTCGAGATGTTTTACAAAAACAAAAATTCTTCGAGTTTTCCACCGTTTACGGGCTTACTGCTCTCAATTACACATAAACATGTTTTGGATCATTTTCCGCTGCCTACAGAGCGGAAAGGTGCAATCATTAAAAACTTCCCTTAAGCTGTACTGCCTGAGATCAATACACCCACTCTTTCACCTGGTGCCGCATGCGGCTTTGATGCTGTTCTGTCAAATTGCTTCCCTTAAATGAGTGGGTGTAAGTACTCTAAATTTAGAAGAATAGAAATCAACAAACAACACTCTGAGTGTTGGGAAAAAGCTATGTTTGTGTCACTTCACAGATATTTTCAGGTTCGCACAAATAACGGAATGAGTTATGATGAGACAAAGGTAAAAACAAATATTTAGATCATTGTGGAGAGTTTCTGATGGCATGTTGGCAGCCTGCGATCTTGTCTAGTTCTAGTCAGTTCTATCTTAAACTCCTAAACCACATGCCAATGCTTGGTTGCCCAGCATTTAATAGCAGTTTGCAGTAAAGGACACCTCCCAATACCGAACACTTCCTCCTGGGACAGGTAAAATTACCCCCGCATTGCTGAGGAGGGGCAGGGTGTGTATCTTTCTGTCTGGCACTAGACAGGGTGTGTGCATGAATCGCTGATCGTGTGGTCATAATAGACAAAAAACGACTCTCTTAATAAAAATGAGAACAAGAGTCATTTCAGAACTCAATAGTTTCATCTACCAAGAGCAAAACTCTTGCCAGTTCTATCTCCCTCACACACACAAACCTGGCAATTACTTTAGCAACTGTCTTGCACATTAACGTTTGCAGAAAACCCACTCTGTGTAAGAGCACATAGATTTCTTTTGGCTTTTAATGTGCATCTGGTCATTAAGGTGGACAAAGAGGAAGTACGACAGGCTGCTACATGCTCACAAAAACAAGTGTAATTCAGGAAATAGAAAAGGCTATATTAGTGGCACTATATTGACTTTTAATGGTTTTTAAAACTGAAATGGTGTCTTAGTGTTACAACGAAGAGGCGCTGTGGAAATGTTGGGGTTTTGTGAAGGATTATCGTTTCACAGGCTGAAAAGAAGCAGGCTTGAAGCAGTTAAGCTGTAGCTTCATGCTACTCTTAAACTTATTCAGTAGTTCCTCCAAGAGTCTGAGAAAAGAGAGAGAGAGAGGGATGTATTAGAAAAAAATGGAAACTATTAAACAAGCCAAACTTACCCTCAATAAACAAAATAATCACTAAAGACATCTGTACTTATTTGCAAGTTGAATAAATAATCAAATTTGAGACACTATATTCAAACATTGTGCCAGGACACGCCACTCAATTCTGACTTTTTGTTTTTAAGGCGAGACACTGCAGGTGAATAGGGTAAAAATATTTACTAATAGTTATCACCTTACTTACCCAGTTGATTGATTACATTGATAATTGCAAACATTTTTTTGTATTACAAGTTTTCTAAAATGTTATGTTTAAATATGCAAATGATGCATTATTTAATGAAATATGCGCTCATTTGCATACATTTCTAGTACAAAAATCTGAACACTGGATGAAGTCAGTTTCAAAATTCTTGTTTATTTATTTGTTTACATATTAGTCAAATGTTCCTACAGAGGGAATTTTGGGTATCTCTTTTTGTCACTCCATAATTCAGAAAAATCTTAGAACAGCCATAAAACAATATATTTTCACATTTTTGGGGGGAAATAAAATGTTGTATATAATCAAGCAAATTATATATGAACAAATCCCTCTGTAAAAAAAGCTTCAGAATATAGACAGGAATAAAAATGTAAAGTTTGGTCTGTGTAAGTGCTACTGAAGTAAAGGTTTATGGCTCAGTGTAGGAGAAAAAAACTCATTTTGAGAAAACGGCCTTTAAAAATATGTATTGTAATTGAAATCTATTGACACAAATACATATAGTGCTATAAAATAAATACTTAACAGTGTCTTTTGGATGTTTTCTTTCCACTAGTCTTTATCAACACTTTATGAAAAGCCACAAAGCCCAAAAGCCCAAAATCTCAAAATTGACAGGTGCATGAAAAAATTGTGTTTTTGCCTGCAGTGTCTCCCCTTAAACAAAGACACATTAAACTGACTAAAAGTGACAGTCCATTGTTAAAAAAGATTTCTATTTCAAATAAATGCTGTTGAACTTTCTATTCACCAGAAAATACTGAAAAAATGTGTCATGGTTTCCACTAAAACATTAAGCAGCTCAATTGTTTTCAACAGTATTGATAATAATGAGAAATGTTTCTTGAGCATGAAATCAGCATATTAGAATGATTTCTGAAGGATCATGCAACACTGAAGACTGGAGCAATGGCTTCTAAAGATTCAGCTTTGCCATCACAGGAATAAATTACATTTATATTTACATTTACATTTACATTTAGTCATTTAATTCCTCAAATCGAAACTACAGTTCGCACTTAAACGCAGGAAGGGAGCAATTAAATTACACGCGCTCCTTCTTAGCCGAGGGCAATTATTATAATTACCAGAAAGTGCAATCAAATTTAAAAATATATATTGATGTTATTACCGACAGAAGTATCATAATATTATAAATGTATTTTGATTAAATAAATGCAGTATTTAGTGCGCATAAGAGACTAAAAAAAAAAAAATAACTCCAAACTTTTGAACGGTAGTGTGTGTTAAAATATGTATTTGCTTGAACGTATAAGTAAACTTTTTTTAAACCCGCAGTTATATCTGGTAATTTTACAACTTAAATAACCCTGTAACAGCAACAAATTCATAAACACACTTTGTCTGGAAAATGATGGCATGCAATCCAAAACATTACTGATTGGTTTACAATCTTCAACCCAATTTTGGATTTTTGAACTCACTTCTTGTCAGTTCCACTCTGTAGCTGTGGTAGAGCTTCCAATGCCTGCTTAAAACTAGTGCTGAGACACATGAGAGACAACATCACACACCCACATTATCATACTAACACTTTTTGGTTTTAATGGTATCAAGACATCTGTGTTGAACGTGTTTATATCTTACCGACTCTCTGATGTAAGGTACGGCTCTATGGCGTCTAGCAGCGCACAGATTTCCAAACGTGCCTAACGAGAAAAATATTAATGATGGTGAAAAATTATGATGTGGATTTCAACACCTTAAAGGGATAGTTCACCCAAAAATTTAAATTCTGCCATTAATTACTCACCCTCATGTTGTTCCAAACCCATAAACCTCCGTTCATCTTCGGAACACAAATTAAGATATTTTTGATGCATCCCATGAGCTCTCTGACCCTCCCATAGACAGCAAGGATCCTTACACGATCAAGGTCCAAAAACATAGCAAGGACATCTGTAATATAATCAATGTGACGGGTTCAACCGTAATTTTACAAAGCTACGAGAATATTTTTTGTGTGTGAAAGAAAACAGAAATGATGACTTTATTCAACAATTCGTCTCCTCCGCGTCACCCTGTAGCGCCATTTTGGAGAGTATGCACTGAACGTAAACAGCGTATGTTATTCTGTGTCAGCTGCGCCACGAGGATACGTTTTCTACATTGTTTGCGAAAGTAACAATTGTTTACATTCAGATGATCTGAATGTAAACGACACATTCGCGTGACGCAGCTGGATTATTTTACCAATGTCCTTGCTATGTTTCTGGATCTTGATTGTGTAAGGATCATTGCTGTCTATGCAGGGTCAGACAGCTCTCAGATTCCATCAAAAATTTGTGTTCCGAAGATGAACAAAGGTCTTACAGGTTTGGAACGACATGAGAGTGAGTAATTAATGACAGAATTTTCATTTTTGGGTGAACTATCCCTTTCAGATTAAATGCTAACTGTCCTGATAAGTGTATATGAGGGGTGACTTGTACCTGCAGTGCACCATTTTTACTAAAGGATGACACACACTGCATCAGACGGCTCATTTCTTCAGCTACAGCCTCAATGATCTTTGATAAAACACGAGGAACCAGCTCCTTAGAAACCGTGAAAACCTGAAAGAGCAAAAAACAGAGATTCTTGGAGACTCTGTCCATTAACTTCACCAATATAGCTGCTAAAAATTCAGCTTGCAATAACCAGAATATATATATATATATATATATATATATACACACAGGTGCATCTCAATAAATTAGAATGTCATGGAAAAGCTCATTTATTTCAGTAATTCAACTCAAATTGTGAAACTCGTGTATTAAATAAATTCAGTGCACAC